CATAGGAGGTCCGCTAGTTCCCTGGAGAGCCAAGGGAGCTACTGTGCCCCTTTTCTGCCTTTCCTCTGAGATGGGATGAACTTTGCTTGCACATCCAGGATTGCTCCCTTGAGGAGCAACCACTCGTCCTGAACTCCCCTCACCACTCACCTCACCTCACCTCACCCTTCTGTGGTTGGATTCCTCCCACCCATACTACTTGACCATGCCAACCCATTCAGAATGAAGCCGAATCATGAAAACCCATTTTTATACCAAGCATAAACATGCAGCATCCAAAACAAATTAGAGTCTGCAACACAAGGTCAGCATGTGCTGCCTGCAGTAGGAAATGGAAATGCCTGAAGTTTGTTTCTTAATCACAATCCTAACCCTCCCTCACCCCCAATCCTTGCATTTTTCTCTGACATTTAAAGGAGGAAATCACTAGATAAGTCAGAAAAATGAACTACTACTGCTTGCTTCCTAGGTGAGTCTGGATGGCAGCAGAGCTGTGGCCAGCTTAGAGTAGATCGGTGCCTTACTTGCAACATTGCCTCTTTTCTACCACAGTCAAACTCAGATGGGTGGGTGTAGGGGAGAGCTCTCTGCTGTCTGTAGTTCTTTGCCAGATGCTGTCTTCAGGAAGGCAGTGAGTAGTAAATGTGCCTACAGATTTAGCTGGGTTGGAACTTTAATAAATACATTTTGCATTGGGATACAAATGGTTAAGGACTTCCTGGACTTCCAGAATTGTTTTGGCTTTGAAGCCAATAATTAAAACGGGAGTAGTGGACTTTAAGTAGAGGTATATTAATGGGTCTATTTAATGGAACAGCCCCCTTTGCCCCTCCTCCCACACAGGCACCAGGGAACATAAAATGTTTACGGAAAGTCAGAGTAATGTTTTGACTCCAGGGATGCAGGCAGTTTTGGTGTCAGATCCGTTCAGAGTCGATCTGCGTCTGAACAGCAGCTGTTCTACGTTCAAGCCAAGCGTATGCGGTGCTCTTGGGTTCTCTCGCTGCCTTTGTGTGTATTTAGAGCAGTTTCTTGGTAAGATGGAATTACCACTGACATCTCAGTCGCAATTTACGCTTTTGATGTAAGGATCCAGTGGCTCCAGAGACTGAACCTGTATCTGTGCGGCAGGAGTGACCTCGAAAAATTGGAGGATTGGGTCAAAAAGAATTTCATGGGGTTCAACAGTGACAAGTTCAAAGTCCTGTCATGCACCACGACAGGCTGGGGGCTGTAGTGGAACAGTCCCAGTGGAACAATCCCATGCACCAGTACAGGCTGGGGCTGACTGGCT